AATTTGACTTTTCAGGTAAGTTTGAAATTGTAAGGGGTTAACCTTGCATTTTCATCATAATTGGGCAAAATTTGACATTTCTGGGAAATTTAGAATTGTAAGGGGTTCACCTTGCATTTTCATGAAAATTGGGCAAATTTGACTTTTCTGGAAAAAAAAAAATATGTAAGGGGGTTAACCTTGCATTTTCCTTAAAATTTGGCAAAATTAGACTTATTAGGCAAGTTTAAATTTGCAAGGGGTTAACCTTGCATTTTTATCAAAATTGGCCAAAATCTGACTTTTCTGTGAAATTTTTAATAGTAAGGGGTTAACCATGCATTTTTATTAAAATTGGGCAAAATATGACTTTTCTGGGAAATTTAAAATTGTAAGGGGTAATCCTTGCATTTTCATCATATTGGGCAATTTTTGACATTTCTGGGAAAATTAGAATTGTAAGGGGTTAACCTTGCATTTTCATCAAAATTGGGCAAGATTTGACAATTCTGGGAGATTTAAAATTGTTAGGGGGTTAACCTTGAACATTTATCAAAATTTGGCGAAATTTGACTTTTCTTGGAAATTTTGTAATTGATAGGGAGTAACCTTTCATTTTTTTAATGAAAATTGGGCAAATTAGACTTTTCTGAGAAAAATTGAATTGTAAGGAGTTAACCTTGCTTTTCCTTAAAATTGGGCAACATTTGACTTTTCGGGTAAGTTTAAAATTGTAAGGGGTTAACCTTGCATTTTCATCATAATTGGGCAAAATTTGACATTTCTGGGAAATTTAGAATTGCAAGGGGTTCACCTTGCATTTTAATCAAAATCGGGCAAAACTTGACTCTTCTGGCAAGTTCGAGTCTGTAAGGGGTTAAATTTTGTATTTTCATCAAAATTTGCCAAAATCTGACTTTTCTGGGATATTTTCAATTGTAAGGGGTTAACCTTGCATTTTCATCAAAATTGGGCAAAATGTGACTGTTCTGAGGAATTTAAAGCTGTAAGGGGTTAAGAGTATGTCCACGAGAGGACCATGCAGACCGTGACAAGGTGGGGGTCGGCGGATTTAGTTAAAATTTGGGGGGTAGGTGGGTCATAGGTAGCCTTGAGGTTGTACAAAATATTTGGCCAATCCGACCTCCGTAGCTGAAAAAAGAGCCAAAAATGTGTTTTTATTAGTGAAAAATGGTGATTTTTATGATTTTGGGGTACAAACGTTTAAACGCTTGCTGCTCAACAGGGGAAAGCAGCAGAGAAATGAAATTTGCAGGGTCCTGAGGTTGTATCCTGACCTAAAACCAGGTACTCAAAATTTAGAAAAAAATTGCTCTTAGGAGGCAACGGCACTAAGGGTACCCCCAAAGTTGAGTCATAGAAATAGCGATCTTTAAGTCGCCGTAGCGTCATTAGTGCAGGTCTTTGAACGATGACACTCAGGTGAAAGAGAGTTCTTATCATGGTCCTTAAGTATCAAGAATAAAAACATTGTCAGCAGTTTTTAGTATAAAATGGCAGGAGTCTGTTTTACCCCTATTTTTCGCTAGTAAAGGGACGGGGGAGGGGCATACAGTGCCCCCCCTTTTTCTGTATTTTCAAAAGTCGACAACCAATTTTCATGAAATTTGCTACCAAGTTTTATATTTCCAATTTGTAAATAATGACGTCAAAAATGTTTTTAAAAATCTTTAACAGAGGGCTTTTTTTTGGCACCTTTTTGGTCAAAAAGTGTATTTTTCACATAATTTTTTTCTTTTTTGCTTGAATGATATGAAAATTGGCAAACGTGTATATTTTTTTCATGATCAAAAAAATTAAAACATATTTTAATACTGGAGACGCCATAAGGGGTGCTATAATTCCTTAATTTATCCCATTTTTAGGGTAGGGGGGTTCACTTTAAATCAATATGGCCGCCACCTTTCAGAGTCCAGGATGGAATGTATACCCTGCCCGATTTGTGGCAGAGGGAGTCCCCACAAATGTTCCTATACTCAACACACACTTGTCTTTTTGTTAACAGAAGTATCCCCCAATAATCATCTAAAGAATTCCTGAGATTACCAGAACACAATGAAGACACAATGGGGGTGGGGTGGGGGTTACACCCTGCCACATATCGCGCACCAAATGTGGGAATGATGAGGCTTGGATGACAATTCTGTTATTTTTTGGCATGTTAATGTAATCCGGAAAATTAATAAACTTGGAAAATAATAAATTGAATGAGAAAAACGCTAAATTTTTGGGGTACTCGTTGTCAAAAATGAGATACACCTAGATGGGGTAGGAACAAGTAGAGAGGAATTTGAATAAATAGAAACAATGACAAACAAATTTTTAGAAAGACCAAAAAGAAATGATTTATTTTACCAACCAAAATTTGAAGAAAACCTTTCAAAAAACCAATAATCAAAAAGGATCCAAATTAACTTTTATCCAAACCTTAAACCTGTTATCCACCCCACCAAATAAGTAAAATGGTAGTACTACAGTCGACTTTTGTTATAAAGAACACTTTTACAAAGATGTCCTACTGCTGCTTATATAGAGCACATTCTGAGGTCTCGAATCTCTAGTTCTCTTTGTGTCTCTTTGTTTCGCTGTCCTTTTAAAGCAACATTTCTGTTTAAAGAGGTAGTTTGGGCAGTCTCACCTACCTTGCTATAACGAGAGTCAACTGTACAAAACTAAATTGAACTTTAAACTTAAATGGAAGTTGAAAGAAGAAAACTGAACCAACACAGTATCAAAATAGAATGACACATGGAACAACCTAACGATCAAACTCGAAAAAACAATTGAATATAAATCAAGAAATTGTTTTCCTTCTTAAATTAACATTAAACAAGTCAGGTGTGTTTACAAACACAAATGCCTCACAACCGTGACTGTTTCCATGACATAACACCACTCTAACATCAACTTACATGTACCTTGGTCAAATGGAACGTTCATTGACAGCATTAGTGTCTTCTGTAGGTTTTATATGAATTAATCCCTAATCCCTATGATCTCAGAATAAATACAAGATTTCTATTGTTTTAGCCACTGTGACCTTGACCCTTGACCTTTCGACCCCCAATGCGATAGGCATCTTAGGATTGCCAAGGACAATCCACAAACCAAATTTGAAATTCATATGTAAACTATTTCTCAAGTTATCACGCTGACAACATTTCTTTTGTTTTTGCCACTGTGACCTTGACCCTTGACCTTTTGGCCCCAAATGCAAAAGGCTTCTTAGGATTGCCAAGGACAATCCACAAACCAAATTTGAAGTTCATATGTAAAGTATTTCTCAAGTTATCGCGCTGACAAAATTTCTATTGTTTCAGCCACTGTGACCTTGACCCTTGACCTTTCGGCCCCAAATGCAATAGGCTTCTTAGGATTACCAAGAACAATATACAAACCAAATTTGAAGTTCATATGTAAAGTATTTCTCAAGTTATCGCGCTGACAAAATTTCTTTTGTTTTAGTCACTGTGACCTTGACCCTTGACCTTTTGGCCCCAAATGCAAAAGGCTTCTTAGGATTGCCAAGGACAATATACAAACCAAATTTGAAGTTCATATGTAAAGTATTTCTCAAGTTATCGCGCTGACAAAATTTCTTTTGTTTTAGTCACTGTGACCTTGACCCTTGACCTTTTGGCCCCAAATGCAAAAGGCTTCTTAGAATTGCCAAGGACAATCCACAAACCAAATTTGAAGTTCATATGTAAAGTATTTCTCAAGTTATCGCGCTGACAAAATTTCTTTTGTTTTAGTCACTGTGACCTTGACCCTTGACCTTTTGGCCCCAAATGCAAAAGGCTTCTTAGAATTGCCAAGGACAATCCACAAACCAAATTTGAAGTTCATATGTAAAGTATTTCTCAAGTTATCGCGCTGACAAAATTTCTATTGTTTCAGCCACTATGACCTTGACCCTTGACCTTTTGGCCCCAAATGCAAAAGGCTTCTTAGAATTGCCAAGGACAATCCACAAACCAAATTTGAAGTTCATATGTAAAGTATTTCTCAAGTTATCGCGCTGACAAAATTTCTATTGTTTCAGCCACTGTGACCTTGACCCTTGACCTTTCGGCCCCAAATGCAAAAGGCTTCTTAGGATTACCAAGGACAATCCACAAACCAAATTTGAAGTTCATATGTAAAGTATTTCTCAAGTTATCGCGCTGGCAAGATTTGTCCGGACACACACACCCACACACCCACACCCAGACTTGTTTCACATACCTAGTGTGGACTTTCCTTTCTTTTCGTGTAGTTAAGGAACACCAGTGGAAAAACTCATTTTTCTCAAACTGTGAAAACTCTTACAACCCAATTTTTTTTCAATGATTCCCTTTAGTGTTTCTCTTCATTCTGCTACAGATAAACCTAACCCAAAAATGCCTCTAAACCTGTTTTCCAGAAATGGGGAAACACTGTGTGGACGTGGGCAAGTCCACACTTCGTCGCTGCTACCTACATTATGTGGATGTCTTTTGTTCGGAAGTCCACACTGCGTATGTAAGACAAGCTCACAAACACCCACCCACCCACGGAAGGACAAGGCGGAAACAGTATGCCCCTTCGGCTTCGCCGCGGGGCATAAAAACAAGAACAGTCAATGTCTTCCAATAACAAACCATGATAACCCTTTGTTTAAACACAAAATACGTAAAGGAAGAGAACATGGAACCACTAACGCAAAAATGTTGGTAAAAAAGGATGCAATAAAAAAAAATGAAAACGGGCACTACTATCAAAATTTTGACCACTTTGTGATGATTCAGCAGTTGTTTCACCGATTGTAATCTTCATGAGCCCATCTTCTTGACGTGGTGCTAAACAATGAAGAACTAAACCAAAGGCTTCCTTTGCCTTCCTTCTATAATAATGGATGGTGCTATCAGATGCTTATTCTAATGACAGATGAAGCTGCCCATCAACAGCAGACATTCCCCCCTGAGTAAGGAAAGTGTTCAGGGATTGCAGCTCCACATTCTTTGGTCAGGGGGTTGGAGAAGAAGAGTCAAGTGCACCTACATCCTGTGTAATATCTCCATCAGTTGATGAGGACTCAGATGTATGCTAGAAATAATCATAAGAAAATAAAAACAGTGAGATGCATGCTACATATAGGGTTGAAATACAAATTGATGTACTCAAAGAAGAGTGCTTACAATTCATCTGTGATAAATGAGATGCAATATGTCAAGGTCCATTCTAAGTTCACTCTCATTACCTCATGAACTGAAGTGCACGCTGTGTCGGTGGGTTGGAGAGATGGTACACCAGCCGGCGATGTGAAATCACTGATTGTACACTGATGCTCTTCTTGTTCCTTAGAGAGCACATCGCTAGGTAATTGTTCCGCTGTCTGGTGCGTAACTGCTTGTTTGTGCTAAGATAGACAACCTCTACAGATACCTGAAAGTCATATGAACAGTGAGAATTAACAAAGTGTTAAGGCCGCAGCAGGCTTAATATTTTTTTTAAGTAAAAGATATAAAGCGGGGCGTATGTAGCCAACAATATTGAGCAATAGATGCCTTGAACAAAACCCATGTCATAAATTTCCCCCCCCCCCCCCCAAAAAAAATAAATAAATAAATAAAAAATAAGAAATCTTCTTTTATTATTTTATATTGCCTGTATTTAATTGCACTTATTACTTTTTCTTTTTCTGATGTGGCTGGCTCTGGAGGATTTGTATAAAAGGGGAAACAAATCTGAAATTGTTCTTTAAGTTGTAAATGGTCTGATGAGTCACATCTCGTGAATAAAAGTAAAAAAAAAACAATGTAAGTGCAAAAAAAAAATATATGTTTTATTCCCCAAACTGCGCATGTTCAGTGCAGTTCCAACTTTCTTTATATAAAAAAAAATAAATTCAAAATCCAGCTCCGGCTAAATATCCACCATGTGTGTCCACTGCCGAAAACCATGTGTGTGGTCCAGAGCTGTGACAACCAGTATTAATTTTTCACACAATAATACATTTCACTGGTCCCAAGTCAACTGCATGATAAGGGATTTAATTGATATAACCTACCCAGGAACAAAGTCAGTTGATCAGAAATGGACCTTGACCATGATTAATTCATTTCAATTTTCAAAAATGTATTTTTGTTTGATTTCTGTCTTCTTACCTGTTCCAACAGTGATCATGGTACCCCATCGATCAAACATCTATGATCTCACGGCTAGTTGCTTTATTCACACCACGGAATGGTTTGCCTTTCCCTTTATGGAGTGGATGACAACATTTCCTTGATGATGTCCAACTCAACCCTAACTTGTATCTATGCGCTGGACGTATTGTCTTATCAGTGTATGCATCGACGTCGAACAAACCACATCGCAGGAGGATCAGTTTCCACTCGACATTCACATCATATGCAGCGACTTTCCACTTCTGCAAATGGCTCCGTATGTCTTTTGTGCATCGATTAAGTTGCACTGTATTTAGTTCGCGCAGATAAGAGGGATTTACACCACATTCGATGGCTTTGCTATACTCAAAATTACTAAAATCACATTGCAGCCGCACAGACGGCATGTCCATGGCTGCCATTTTGACGGTAATGTAATGCGAGGGCGCCCTCTTTCGATACCGCGCGCTAACTGGGTGGGCGGCAACAGGACGTTCCCCTCCTACCGGATCAGTGCGCACCACCAAAGGTAGCCCACTCACCCACCCACCCAATAGGTGAAGTCTGCAAAATGTAGATTTTGTTACGCTCTTACAACAATTCCTGCAAAATGTCAATTAAGGGCAACCAATTGCACTCGGAACTGTCTAGGGGGCTATGTAGGTTTGGTCTTGAAAATTAGGAATTTTTCAACTTTGTTGACCGTGAGCAAACAAAAACAAGAAGAGCTGACAGTTTTTTTATTTTTTATTATTGTAGTCTGATATCTGAACTATATTTCCTCTAAGTTTGTTGACTCTCAGCCCTGCATTAATTAAGTTATGGTTTACCGCGTAAAGGACTTCATTTCGTAATAGAGCTGATACGTGTTTTTCTTACGCCTATATCTCCGCAGTGAATGCTTGCATATCAAAGATTTATATTTCATCGTTTAGAGGAGATTAAATCCTTTCTTTTGATATGTAGGTCGACAGTAAACGATTTAGTTTAAGGGTATAAACGAGGCTATAACTTTACACCAGAAACAACACAAATTTACTCCCCGGAAGTCACCCTTTTTGCTCAAAATTGTCGGTGCCCCGTACTCGGCCACCGTGTGATTATTTATCGAGCTACTCCACCGAGTGGTATCGTCTCAGGTGGGGATCAAATGGCCAAGATTTGAACTTAATTCGCTGACCCCCCACCTTGTCGATTTTTCAGGATTTTGCATGGTCTTCTCATAAACGCACACTTAACCTTACATTTTCCTTAAAATTTCCCAAAATAAGACTTTTCAGGCAAGTTAAAAATTGTAAGGAGTTAGCCTTCCATTTTCATCAAAATTGGCAAAAATCTGACTTTTCTTGGAAATTTTAAATTGTAAGAGGTTAACTTTGCATTTTTATTAATATTGCCTACAATTTTACTTTTCTGTAAAATGACAATTGTAAGGGGTTTATTTTGCATTTTCATCAAAATCGGCCAAAGTCCGACTTTTCAGGCAAGTTTAAAGTTGCAAGGTTTTAACCTTGCATTTTCATCAAAATTGGCCAAAATCTGACTTTTCTGGGGAATTAAAATTGTAAGAGGTTAACCTTGCATTTCATCAAAATTTGGCAGATTTTTGACTTTTCTGGGGAATTTAAAATTGTAAGAGGTTAACCTTGCATTTTTATCAAAATTGGGCAAAATTTGACATTTTTGGGAAATTTAGAATTGTAAGGGGTTAACCTTGCATTTTCATCAAAATTTGGCAAAATTTGACATTTCTGGGAAATTTAGAATTGTAAGGGGTTATCCTTGCATTTTAATCAAAATGGGGCCAAATTTGACTTTTCTGGGGAATTTAAAATTGTATTAAAGAGGTTAACCTTTCATTTCATCAAAATTTGGCCGAATTTGACTTTTCTGGGGAATTTAAAATTGTAAGAGGTTAACCTTGCATTTTCATCAAAATTGGGCAAAATTTGACATTTTTGGGAAATTTAGAATTGTAAGGGGTTAACTTTGCATTTTCATCAAAATTGGGCAAAATTTGACATTTCTGGGAAATTTAGAATTGTAACGGGATAACCTTGCATTTTCATCAAATTGGGCAAAATTTGACTTTTCAGGCAAGTTTAAAATTCTAAGAGGTTAACCATGTATTTTCATCAAAATTTGGCAAAGTTCGACATTTCTGGGAAATTTAGAATTGTAACGGGTTAACCTTGCATTTTCATCAAAATTGGGCAAAATTGACATTTCTGGGAGATTTAAAATTGGTGGGGGTTAACTTTTCATATTCATCAAAATATGGAAATTTGAAATTGAAAGGGGTTAACCTTGTATTTTCATGTCAGATTCAGGCCGGTCAGATAACCACTGCGGAATAGCTTTACTTTTTTGTGTCGGAGCAGGGGAGGGGTTCGACCCCCCAAACCCCCTCTGGATCCGCGCCTGTGCGTCACTGACAGTAAAAAGCAAGTCTGTATAAAACCCCATGTAATTGATTTTTGTTTTATTCAACCCTTAATGTACATTCGGGTGTTCAACTTGACTTTGTTTTTCCATTATGTATGTATTTCCAGTTTTAAGGGCGAGGGGCTTTGTTTTCTTGCGTTTTCCTATTTCGCAAATGACTACATTTTGGGGGAATGTTCACAATTAAAGAACGTTAATTGCAAGATGTAATATATTACAATGTACATATTAATTTTTTTCCCGGTAAAGTAATATTGTATACGGCGTTTCTTAGGTCAGTTAGAAATTGCACCATTAATAATGGTATAGTCATAGTGATCGAACGAAACTTCGTTTTGATTATAGTCAATTTTTAAATATATTCATTGATTTATGACATAGTACTTTGTTTCGTCTTACCAGACCCACCGAACAGACCTACCTCAACCAAAGTTAAAAAAAAAAAAAAAAATAGAGGATCAAAAAAAAATCAAAAAGTTATGTGCTAGTCAAGCTTTCAGGGATCGGTCTGAGCCATAACAATGCCCCATGGCCAATCCCTTAGTTCTCTTCCGGGGTCTCGGTGTCCCCGACCAATACACACTTCCTTCCCTGTCCATCCATGTAACCCCGGAGGGCCAGTCACCATGTAAAAGCAAAGAGCTAAGGGAGGAACAGGGCGGCCCCTAAGCCTTGATCCTCCGAGTGGACCACATGCCCTGAACCTGTACGAAGGTGCCAACCTGGAACTCGTTGACAGTACCAGCAGCAGTGCTTACCGATTAAGCTAAGGTACTGTTGGTATTTAACGACGGGAAATTAAACATCTTATAATGACTGAATAGTATGCGTGCGTTGAAAAGCAAAAAGACACCGACAGGATTCGATCCCGCACTCCGCGACTTGTGGACTACCACTCTAACCACTCGGCCATCAGGCTTCCTTAGAATTCTCCTCAAAAACAATCTGTCTTAATAATAGGCGGAGTCCGCGGCGAAACGTGGAACACTGCTGTGTGCATCTGCTTTGACTCCATGGACGAATATAAGTCCATATTGTGGGCAGTAATTAGTCAACTGTTTTCAGTTGTTTGGAAAATTGTATACGGCAGCCTCGTTAGTCGTAGGCCTATAGATACGTGTGCTATAAACATAGTTTTCGTTACGGAACAGTGAACACTATTATTATGTAGGCTCTTTTTAAACAGGCATCAGGTGCGTTCAGGAGCGGATCCAGGAATTTTGGCGGGGTGGGGGATCAGGCCCGTTATTTATATCCGATCTTATCATTATTATAATTGTTAGCTTATACATACGGTGTGTCAGAGCGTGGTGTTGGGAGGGGGGTTCGACCCCTCTGCATCCGCGCCTGACTTCTGTGCTTTGTATTTGGACAGTTACAGATTCTCAACTCCGTTTATACTATTTCAACATTGTACGGACGTTTAAAAAAAAAAAAGGAAACGACGATTGTTTTACGGATTTGTTTACTAACGCTGAAAATCAGGCCTATATTCCGTTCGCTATTGCCAACAATCCTTCATCAGCCTGTTATCAAACATTATTTTCGTGAAAAAAATGATGTGCACGTTTTCATCCTTAAGTTTCAAAAAATGTAGACGAAAACAACATTACACCAGGACATAACATTACACTAGGGGCGCTGTTCACGATACCGATATGCATCCTTCATGATAGCGCTTCGATCGTATCCCGCCCTGCAAACAGGGCCTGCAGCTGGGGTTCTGGGCCGGAAAGTGCTGATGACATTCACAGAATCTTGTAAAGGAAGTGGGGATGGCATTCTGGGTAACTCAATCATGTTTTTAAAATTATGGCCAGAATTTCCGAGTAGAGAATTTCCGAATCGATGGAAAATAAAACCTTTGATAGCTTTGTTGAAAATTATGATTATTATTTGTTTTTACATTTTTATGCGAAAGGAATAATGCGTCTGCGGCCTTGCAAATTCTTTGTATATGGCTTTACTGACTTCCAGTAAGCAAAACGATTGATTTCGGGTGTGCAAAGTTTCCAACCATTCACTCGATGATTGGAACAAATAAATGACAAGATTTTTTGTACTCAAGTACTGTTCCACTAGTCTGAGGATCAGATGTCCACGTGCACAGCGCCATACTACGAACGTGACAGGAACGTCTGATATATCCGACCCTGCGTGCCAGCCAATCGGAGTCGACTTTAGACATTTGGACGTCATTTCGATCAGACTATGTGGACTAAGCTGTTCATTGCTCAAAACGGGTTACTGAAGAGTGAAGACCCAATAGAAGGCGCCCGCTAAATGGTGATCCGAGGTCAAGACGCAGTCTTGTTTTGCACAATTGATCGCTGAATCTGCGCGAATATCATAGACGCTTGTGTGCAAGCGGATATTCCTTAGACTAGTGGCCCACCCCCACATCATCCCTAACCCCTACCCCCCCCCCCCCCCCCCCCATCCACCCCCAGGAAGAAAACACAATACGCGTTGTAAGTTTCAGCCGTTTGACAGGTTTTTCCGTGACGTGACTCTCACCGCCCTCATAGAGAACTGACTTGAGTCGATACAGTTTAACCTCGTAAATTCTGCGATGATGAATAAAACATTATCTGAAAATTCACCTTGCGTCATTCAAGATGTAATTGAAAGCGCCGGCATAAAGAGCAAGGGACACCATTACAATGCCCTAGGCTTAACACGGCCGGGATGAGAAGCGTAACAAAGAAGACGATATTGATTTTTGGGGTCAGACAGTTTATCCACAGGTGAGCGTTGTATTCAGCGCACGAACTGACTTAAAATAACAGCAGCATACGTACATGCATGTCCCAGCAACAAAGCGAATGCATGATTCTCCATATTAGTTCCTCCTTTCTTGATGATGGTTTGATGACAATTTTATCATCCTGTTCAGAAGTGTCTTCGTGGGCTGGAATTTCTTCCTGGCTGATCTGTAGACCGTCTTATTTCAGGAGCACAAAGGTATGTTGTACAATGGAGCTAAAAATGGATCAATGTACCATGAAAAAACTCAAGATGTTATGGCTGCATCCATGCAGTGTTTTCGGCAAAATTACTTGCAAAATCGTTGTATTTGTCCAGTTTCCTTTCTACCTAAATGTGACTCGAAGATTAAGGTTCTGAAGACAACACCTTGTCGGTAATTGTGACAAGACACCCTGGAAACTCTCCTGTTAAGCTAGAATGGGTAGATTTAATATTCACGGCGTTAATATTGTCTAGTAGAGATATACAAAATGTTGATAAGTGATTCTGACTTGGATAACTTCAAGCATCGCCTTGATATCATTGAACAAAATCATTCTGACAATGAAACAAAAACAAAACAATTATCATCTTGGATGCACTTTTTTATTTTTATGTTGTGCCTATGTGGGTGGGACTATTCATGACAGTTACTATTCAATAAGGTTTTATCTTTGTAAAGCAATCCTATTTAACGCTTAAAAATAATTCATTAGTTCATGGCGAAGGGGTACGTAACTAGAACGATCTTTCAAAGACACCTCATCAGGGCGTCCATTTGGCGGAGTTTTGAGTTCAAGAACGTTGAGTTGTCCGCGATTTGGGGGACATATTGATACTAGCTGGCCGCGTTTTGAGTTCAAGAACGTGGATTATCTTTCACGTGGATTATATTTATCTTTATCATGATCACATTATGTAAACTCTAGAGACCTCTATTATTATGAGAGGCAATACTCTCGCATTTTCTGGGATAACACTGGTTGATATACTAAATGCCGGACCCGTTGCGCAGAAATGTTATTTTTCAATAAAAGCT